TGAGCCCGATCGTGGTATAAAATGTGAGCTGAAAGGAAGAAGAAGAGAGAGCTTCAGTTTAGGTTAGGTTTTCATTTTTCGGAATAAAGAGGATTCTAGTGAGAGGTTAGGGTTTCTTCTAGAAGGAGAAAGTTCAAATCAAAGGAGGAAGAAGGAGCTTTGGGCTTGTTCCTAGCTAGTGGATTGAATATTTCTTCATCTCAAGGGTGTCTCAAGCAACGAGGAGGAAAGATTGACATCACTTCATGGTTATTTCTTCCCTTTTTTTTGTTGTTTTCTCTTGTTTAGCTATGGATAGCCTACCTACTCACTTGGGTATTGTGAATCCTAGTCTCTCTATGTGTTAGGTGTAAGAACATGAACCTCTTGTGTTGATTGAGCGTTTTATATAATATTTGAGGTATTATTCATGAATGATTGAGTGTGCTCGCTTTAACTCAATATTGGGTGAAATTAACCTAGAGGGTGGAAATCCCCTCTTGGTAAAATTAGGAGCTAGACTCCTTAGCCACTTCGGTAACCTCCTTTAGGTCAATTTAAGACCAAAATCTCAAATATCGGAGTAGGGTTGTGATTCCACCGGGATAGCTCTCTCCGTCGACCGGATTAAGTTCCGAGGGTTTGGTTTGCCATCCTTAGCTAGCTAGTTGAGAGGGTTAGGTTCCCTAGCCTATCATTGTCATCCTTAGCCGAAAGGTTTAGTGAGTTAGCTTCCTAACTTGTTGCAATGACTCTCAGTTAGCCAACTAATAGAGAGTTAGAGATCTCCTTGGTTGATCGATAAAAAGGGCTAGACTCTCTAGCTATGAATCACAATTCTTCACCTAACGGTTAAGAGAGCTAGTTCCCCTAGCTTATATCTGTTGATTTTCCTGCATTGATCAGACTAAGGGAGTTTGTCCCTAACTAGTTGCGCCCACCTAGCGGTTTATGAACACGTCCTTCACACTAGAGTTTTGTTTGTCGCTTCTTAGCACGAGATTAAGGGGAGCAATACCCGGGTGAAGCTCTCTCAAGTAGAATTCTCCTCCATTTACTTTCCTTGCTTTTTTTCACTTGTAGTTTTTATAGTTTTAAACCCAAAACTGTTTTGCTAGATAACAACTTAAGAGATTGAAGTAGTGGTACATGGACCGACCCCGGTTGACAATTTAAATACTTGCCCTATACTGCACCAGGCTAGAGTTTAAAAACTTGGGCTCTTGTTGGGATTAATTCGCGGTGTAGTTTCGAGCGAGTCACCAGGCTTGCCAAGTAGAGTTAAAACCCAATTTGTCCAAAACCGCAATGAGAAAGGTTCAGTCGACTCTATCATAGACCTTTTCCATGTCAACCTTTAGAACCATGTACCATTTCTTCCCTCGATTCTTTATTTTCAAATAATGCATTAACTCGTGACCAATGAGAACATTCTCGACAATCTGGCGGTCTAGAATAAAGGCATTCTGACCATCAGAAATAATCTGGGGAGAAATTGAGCCAAACGTTCTGCCGTGATCTTGACTATAACTTTATACACATATTGGTAGAGACTGACTGATCGTAGCTGGCTCATACTCTCCACATTATTAAAGGTACAACGGAGTCTTCATGTATAAAAACACGAGTGGACCGCAGCTATCACGGAATCGCCAACAATATCCCAAAAGGACTTGAAAAACTTCCTAGTGAACCCATCCGATCCCGGGGTCTACTTCGAGCCCATGGAAAAGACAGTTTGGCGTATTTTCACAGGGAGGACTTCGGCCGTCAGGCTATCATTCATTTCATCAGTCACGCGTCTATCTATCAGAAGGTGTGCCACCCTAGCTTCCATATTCGTCACTTGGGTCTCTAAAGTGAAAAGAGTTTGATAGAAATTAGTGGTTATGTTCGCCTTCTCTCTCTCATCACTGGCCCATTCCCCAACATCATTTCGAAGCACAGACACGAAGTTATGCTTTCTGCGAGCCTGGGTGACGGTATGGAAATAGGAAGTGTTATGATCCCCTTTTTTAAGCCATCGCACTCTCGATTTTTGTTGCCAGTAAACCTTCTCAGCATCCACTATCTTGTCAATTCAGCTTCTAAAACCTTTACTTCCTTCCAATTGATCAGATGTACCAATTTAATCAGATCTATTTTAGTTTGGAGGGTTCTAATATTCCGCATAGAATTAGTAGCACCCGTCCTGGTCCAATCATAAACCAAATGTCGGAGTTTTTTCAGCCTCTCCCATAGCTGGTACATTGGAGTCCCATGGGTCTCCTACAGCTAGACATAATTAACCATAGCCTTTACCTCCAAATTATCCGCCCAACCGGCATCAAAGCGAAAGAGAGGGCAACTGGCACGGGTATACAGTCGATCAGATAAGAGCAAAGCTAATGTGGTCAGCATCACCAAAAAACGCAGAAATAAAACTGCATAGTAACTATTTTCGGGTTTGGTCATAAAACCGAACCGACTAATAATTTGGTTCGGAAAAACCGAACCGAATAATAATTCGGTTCAAATTCGGTTTGCCATATGAGTGAAATTGGAACCCCGGTAATCATCTGTTCAGTTCGATTTGAACCGAACCGACCGAATACCCACCCCTATAATACAGGAGTTCTCTGATCTTCCTGATGGGGAGAAGAAGAGAGTTGTGTTGGTCATGGTGTGTTGGAGACCACAACCTCAACTCCTTTATATACAAGTTCCACCATGGGCGCTCCCATAAAACCCAAGTGAACATGTACTTAGTTTCCACCCATTGGATCCATATTGGGCTTCAGAAGTCATGGACCACATAAAATTCATCACTTAATTTAGCCCATCTAAGTGAATAACAAATATAGTGTGCTTATAATTTGATAGCCCACTTAAGTTACGAAATGAAGAGAAGAAGCCGGAGTATTTCTTGGAGCTGATGGAGTTGCTTGTTGCCACTGCTTGTACTTCGATGGTGTCGCTGCTTGTACTTGGGAGAGTTTCAATGAAGCTTTTGATGGTAAAAATGGTCGCGCCAGCGATTAGAGTTCTTCAGATCTGGTTCCGTAATGGGCAGATCTGGTTCCGTCATGGGCAGATCTGGTTCTTGCTCGTCTCCCTCAGCGCCCGGTGGCGGGGGCCAAAACTTTAGGGTTTTTCAAGGAGGCGTGTTGGAGACGTCGTCCGCGCCCTGCGACGACATCCCTCTGCTTCGGAGTGGCCGCCGATGACAACCATCTGGTGGAGTTTCGATTCCTTCTCATGGCTCTGTTTGTACAACTCCAATTTCACAAATGATTGGGTTTTGCAATTGTGTCAGGGCAGAACTCGACCTCTGCCAACGATAACGGAGAGGAAGGAATGTGAAAGAAAAATACAGGGGATGGGGAAAGTTTGGAGAACATAGATTTTTTTATATATTTGTTTTTCTATTTAATTACAATAAAAAATGGTCATTTCCACATGGTATTATTTTTTACCAAAAATTGCCATGTCACTATAAACGTTAGTCTAGTCAACATTTTTTGTATTTCTATTAAAGTTATGGACAAAATGGCTATTTTAGTGTATTTTTTCAAAATTTGGCTATTATTGTCATAAAGCTCAAAGTTAAGGCTAGACAAGTGTATTTTGCCATAAATGAATGTAGTGTGTAATATGCTTTGTGTCCTTTGATACGAAGAGTTGTGAAGGCCACCGATTGTGCTTAAGTAAAAATGTAAAATATACTTGATTGCCTCTTTTTTATATATTTTTCAGTATTAAGAAATGAGACTAGACCAAATCAAGGGCTTGTTTGGCTGTAAAAATATGGAACCAAGAGAATTTGTCTTAACTTCCACAATCTAGAAAACCCGAGAATTATGAAATGAATATTGGCTATTATGGATTTGGAGTGGGTTCAAGAATGTGAAAATTAATAGTGTGAGATTTGAATAATATACCAATTTGTCTTTTCTTCTGTCTGTTTGGAATCAACATTCCACATACCTTCAAAATAAATCTTTCAAAATCTAAAATTTGGATATCATGCATCAAACCTAAAATTTGATTATAAATCGCCTAGTTTATGTACAAACCACAAGACTGACCATGGGCATGTGCTGGCAAGCCCACCAGCACAGGGCCTCAAGATTTTTGGGGAATCAACATTCCACATACCTTCAAAATAAATCTTTCAAAATCTAAAATTTGGATATCATGCATCAAACCTAAAATTTGATTATAAATCGCCTAGTTTATGTACAAACCACAAGACTGACCATGGGCATGTGCTGGCAAGCCCACCAGCACAGGGCCTCAAGATTTTTGGGGCCTCCATAAAATCTAAATTCCTAAGTATTAGTTATATTAAGTTGTATTATTCATGTTGGCACCAAAAGCTTCTGTTGTTGCCACTGTTTTAATGCTCTTCTGCCTGTAAGTGTAACTATGAAGTGGATGGATTAAAACAATACTAGTAGCAAGATTGACAAACCGGTTTAAGTCATTGAGCCAGTCAAGCAAGGGGTTTGAGGTTTAATGGTTTGATCGGGGTTCGGCCGGTTTGAGCCATTTCAGACATTTTCTAAATATATATATATAAATAAGGTAGTAATTAAAGATTTAATGACTGAAATAACAAGGAGGCGGCGATGCGAATCAGTGAACTGATTGGGATACCCATTCGCGTGGGTAGAGCAACAGAGTTGGGAGCACGAGGAAATTTTGCTCGAGTGTGTGTCGAGGTGGACTTAACAAAACCATTGCTAGGAAGATATAAGGTGGAAGGAACTGAGTACCTAATCCGATATGAGGGTTTAGAGAACATATGTACCAAATGTGGTCAGTATGGAAAACACACGGAGCAATGCCCATGTAGGATAATAGTGGAGGAACCCAGTGAAGAAACAGTGGATATGGTTCCCGAGACTCAAGAAGAAGAGATACCGAAAGCTCCAGCTTTCGGAGAATGGATGATGGTAAAGCGAAAAGAAAGAAAGCCCATGAAACGAGGGATGCAATCCATGAAGAGGGACACCATTAACCCACACCAGACGAAATAGATGGGAGAGCAGAACCGTTTCTCGGTTCTCAATGGAGATGGAGATAATGGCAAGTCGGGGGAGGAAGGCCCAACTCAACAGGGTAAGGAAGAAGAGCTAGGGAAAGTACATGAGGAAAAGCGAGAATTGATCAACCAAACCATGCAACAGCCACGTCCTGAAGCAGGGAGTAAGGGTAATGAAAAAGAAGTTTTGATGAAGAAGGACACACAACACATGGACAATGTCCCGGAACGTGTTGGTGCACAAAGTAAGAAGAACCTGAGTGACAAACTCACTCAGGCATGATAAAGTGGTGAGAAAGGAGATGAAGGTTGGGAGACAGGGTAGTGCAAAATCACGTATGCATGGCACTGGGTCTCTAACAAAGAATGGCGTGGGGATCCTATCCCCTTCAGGTTATAGATGAGACTCCTAAGCTACAACTCCCGCGGATTGGGGAGTAAGCGGGCAGTTTGAGCTTTGAAGTCGCTTCTGTGACGGACTTTCCCACAAGTGGTATTTCTGATGGAGACCAAACAAACAAAGACTGAGAATACTGAAACACCGAATGAGCTGGGTTTTACAAATTGTGATAGCTGGCCAACGGACACCTCCAGGGGAGGTCGTGCGGGCAGATTGAGTGTGTGGTGGAGTGAGGATGTTGATCTCGAATTCATGTACTCCTCCAACCACTGTATTGATATGAAAATCACTAAGGAAGGTGGAGCGATATGGAGGTTTACTGGAGTTTATGGATGGCCGGAGTCGAATGAAAAGAAAAACACGTGGAAGTTAATTGGGGATCTATCGAATCAATGGAGTGGCCCATGGCTATGTGGTGGCGACTTCAATGAGATTTTAAGTAGCGAAGAGAAAAGTGGCGGGCAAGGAAGGGACGAGCGGGATATGGAAGCATTCCGGGACTGCCTTGCGGATACTGACCTCAAAGATCTGGGTTTCCAAGGCTACTGTTTCACTTGGGAAAATAGATGGCGTAATGGTGGGTACATTGAGGAACGTCTGGACAGGTTCGTGGCATCAGAGTAATGGTCATCCATGTTCAGGCAGTGCAAGGTGCGTCATCTTGATAAGACACGGTCAGATCACCGACCGATAATATGTGACACGTTAGGTGACGAAGACGAGGAGCCTCGATGGGGGTGGAGCTTCCGGTTTGACCCACTGTGGACGAAGCATGAAGATAGTGTAAAAATTATGATGGAGGCATGGAAGGAATCGGGTGCGTTGGGTGCAATGGAAAAAATTAACAAGTGCCGAGCTTTGCTGGATGAGTGGAGTTTGAGGACTTTCCCAAACTACTCTAGGCAGAAGGCGAAGATTCAAAGGGCGCTTCGGAAGCTGGAGAGGATGCCTCAAACACAGGCAGTCCGCGAACAAAAATGGAAGCTTGAAGAGGAGATGTCGGAGCTAGAGGATAATGAGGAACTATACTGGAAGCAGCGGTCTCGTGCTGATTGGCTAAAGGGTGGTGATCAAAATACGAATTTTTTCCACAGAAAAGCAACCGCAAGAAGGAGGAGGAACACCATCTGAAAGCTATGAGGACCGGAGGGACAGTGGTACGTTGGAACGGAGCAATTATTTGATTGTTTCCTTAACTACTTTGGTGAGTTGTTCTTGACAGGTCGGATACCAGATACGAAACCTGTGTTGGAATCCATTCCACAATCAATCTTGCCAGCTGATAATGAGCTGTTGCTCCGAGCGGTGGACAAGGAGGAGGTTTATGCAGCCCTCAAGCAGATGGGACGGAGGAAGGCCCCTGGCCCGGATGGTCTATAGGTGGCATTCTTTTGATCATACTGGGATGTGGTGGGTGAAGAGATCTGTAGCACAGTGAAGAGCATCATTGAAAGCGGAGAGATGGTACCGGAGCTCAATCATACATTGCTGGCGTTGATTCCTAAAATTAAAGTACCGCAGAGTCCGAAAGATTTCCGCCCAATAAGCCTTTGCAATGTCCACTATAAATTGGTGGCGAAGGTGCTTGCTAATAGGCTGAGGTGGTGCTGGATAGAGTTATCTCTGCAGAACAGAGTGCTTTCATCCCGGGAAGGCTTATTACCGATAACGTGATGATGACTTTCGAATGTTTTCATACAATGGAGAATAAAGGGAAGAAGGGTATGAGATATTTGGCCACAAAGACTGATATGGCGAAAGCCTATGACCGGGTGGAATGGCGATTTTTGGCTAGAGTGATGCGAAGAATGGGTTTTGAGGAGTGATGGGTGCAGACGATCATGATGTGTGTTAGTACAGTTTCTTTCTCAGTCTTAGTGAATGGCCACCAATCCCAGAGGTTTCAGCCCAGTCGGGGAATCCGACAGGGGGGATCCGCTGTCCCCGTATTTGTTCCTTCTATGGGCTGCAGGCTTATCGTCCTATACGACAAAGGCGGTGAGGAAAAGACGCATTCACGGCATCCACCCTGCCCAAGGTTCGCTAGTCATCTCCCATTTATTTTTTGCAGATGATTGTATCTTCTTCACTAGAGCAACTGTCGAAGAGAGCAAAGAGTTGAAGAAGATCTTGAACGACTACGAAAGAGAATCCAGGCAATGGTCAGTTTTGAGAAATCTGAAGTTTCCTATAGTTCAAATGTTCTGCCACATAGACGGCTGGAGACTGGAGGGGTCCTTGGTATGCGGATTGTCGCAAAGCATGATAAATATCTCGGTCTTGCGACTGAGGCGGGCAGATCGAAAAAACAGTTGTTCGATGGAATTAAAGACAAGATCAGGAAAAAGTTGAATGGTTGAAAAGAAAAAACACTCTCGGTGGCAGCAAGGGAGGTTTTAATAAAGTCAGTGGCGCAAGCGCAACTCACCTACGCGATGTCAGTGTTTAAGGTGCCGGAGGGTACTATTGATGAAGTCCATAGTATTATCATGAACTTTTGGTGGGGATAGCGAGCGGCGGAGAGAAGGGCACATGGCTTACGCAGGGAAGAGTTGGTGAGTCCAAAGGAGGAAGGGGGGATGGGGTTTCAAGATTTAAAAGGTTTCAATGAAGCGCTCCTTGCGAAGCAACTCTGGAATCTTCTTCAGCGGCCAGATTCTCTCATTGCAAGGGTCCTAAAGGCGAAGTACTATAGGCGGACGACGATCCTTGATGCCAATGTTAGTTATTGGCCGAGCTTTGTATGGAGAAGCCTTCTTAGTGCACAGGAGTTACTAAATCGTGGTTTGCGATAGAGAATTGGAAGTGGGTTGGAGACTAAGATTTGGGGAGACCGTTGGGTCCCGGGACTACCGAACCAGTACGTTCCATCAGCGCCACAAGGGCTTCCGTTTGATGCGTGCGTTCGGGAGCTCATTGATCCAGACACGGAAATGTGGGATGAAACGGTTATGGCGAGCTGCTTCCCAGATGATGTTATCCAGGCAATCCGTCAGATGCCACTATGAGGGAATGGAGAAAAGGATGAGAAGGGCACATGGCTTACGCCGGGAAGAGTTGGTGAGTCCAAAGGAGGAAGGAGGGATGGGGTTTCGAGATTTAAAAGGTTTCCATGAAGTGCTCCTTGCGAAGCAACTCTGGAATCTTCTTTAGCGGCCAGATTCTCTCATTGCAAGGGTCCTAAAGGCGAAGTACTATAGGCGGACGACGATCCTTGATGCCAATGTTAGTTATTGGCCGAGCTTTGTATGGAGAAGCCTTCTTAGTGCACAGGGGTTACTAAATCGTGGTTTGCGATGGAGAATTGGAAGTGGGTTGGACACTAAGATTTGGGGAGACCGTTGGGTCCCGGGACTACCGAACCAGTACGTTCCATCAGCGCCGCAAGGGCTTCCGTTTGATGCGTGCGTTCGGGAGCTCATTGATCCAGACACGGAAATGTGGGATGAAACGGTTATGGCGAGCTGCTTCCCAGATGATGTTATCCAGGCAATCCGTCAGATCCCACTATGAGGGAATGGAGAAAAGGATGAGCAAATTTGGCATGATAGCAAGCTGGGAGTTTACTCGGTGAAGGAGGGGTACAAATTCTGGTTGAAGGAATTTCTTACTCGAAATGAGGTCGCGGCACAGGGGTTCGCTTCAATGTGGAAGTGGCTTTGGTGGCTGGAGGTTCCTCCGAAGATCAGGCAATTCATGTGGAGGTTCTCACGGGAGATTCTGCCGACTGGAGTGTGGGTCAATCATAGAAATCCTCAAAGGGGAGATAACTGCGCCTTTTGTGGCCAGCAGGAATCACAAATGCACATCTTTATTGAATGCGGGTGGACTTCACGTATATGTAGGAAGACGGAATTTGCTGACCTTTTCAGATGAAAGGGACGCAATCTTTTTTGGAAGGGGTTACAATGATTTTGGAGCAACGGGAGGAACACGAAGTGGAGGGTTGGTGTATTTTGCTTTGGTATCTCTGGAAGGAAAGAAACTCTCATATGTTCAATGGAGCTAAACTACCCAAGGAGGAGATACCAACACGCGCACGGATCCTATTGGAAGAATATAAACAATACCAGCAGCGTATGATTGAGCAATGCATTGTTCCTAGCCGCAAAAGATGGTGCAAACCGTTGCCAGGGACGATGTCTGTTTGTACAGACGCAACAGTTTGGGGGGACGAGGGAGCTAGCCTGGGTGTGGTGATAAGGGACTCAGAAGGGAAGTTTATGTTGGCAGCTGCTAAGAGACTTCCAGGAGTGTAGGGCCTTGAAGATGCCGAAGCAAGGGCGGCGGAGATGGGGGCTCAATTGGCATGCCAATTCCAGATCCCAAATGCTAAGCTAGAGTCAAATTGCCAGTCACTTATACATAAGATTGGAAATCCAGAGGTGGTGAGAAATGAAATAGGGATCTTGTGTATAAGTATTCGACGAGCTTTAAAGCAGACAGGAGATGGTCGTTGGCAGCATACCCCAAGGGAGGCAAATGGCGCTGCACACGTTACGGCCCATGCAGAAGGCATTGGAGAGGATCGGGTAATTTGGCTTGATACGCCCCCTAGTTTTCTTATTAATCAGCTTCAGCTGGACAATGTAACCGCATCGTCTGATTAATATAATCCGATAACAGATTTCCGTAAAAAAGAAAAAATCTACCTAACCTCCACGTCCCACCCACTATCTCCTTCCTTCGTTCCTCTTCCTCTCTTTACCCTATCTTCTTCTCCCTCTTTAGGGGTTAGACCGGGGGGGGGGGGGGGGGGGGGGGGGGGGGGGGGGGGGCTTTCTGGAGGCCGTTTTGAAGTTCGACTCGTATCGGATCGAGTCCAACCGAGGATTCGATAGGGGTTTAACAACCTTTTCGTAGTGAAGACTCTGCCTACTCCTAACTCTTCTCTCTAACTTTATTTTCAAAATAGATCTCTCCCTTTTTGGGGTTGTCGTCGGCTCCTTTTGGTGAACGGCGGCAACCCAACTATCTCCCTTGCTCTTTTCTTCTTCCTTTCTTGCTCGCACTTCTTTTGTCGTTGTTCTGAGCATTTTCCCCTCGAATTTTCAGGTTCGTTTTCGTTTTTCTAGCCATTGTGGCCTTTAGATTTCTTCCCTTTCATGTTGAGTAGGTGCTCTGTTTTTGGACCAAGTGTTTTGATCTTTCGGTGGTTGGTTCACATTCTCTGCTTTGCTTTTTCACATTGTATCTTTCAAGTACGGCTTGTGTTTCAATCGTATGCTGTTCATCTTTGTACGCTTGTTTTGAATTCAGTTTGTATCCTTTTGTTTTTCTCTCTAATCGATCATTCACAGTGCAATAAAGATTCTCCTTTGTTAAAAAAAAAGAATAAAAGGTAAAAAAAACTCTCAATCACGATTAGGTTTTTGTGAAAAAAATGCCTGTTTCTCGATTCTGTTAACCAAACCTAATTGAACCGTCACCCCCTAGCTAGCATTGCGTAGCAACACCACCCTAATTCTAAAGCAGCGAGAGAGAGAGAGGAAAACAGGGAAAGGTTGAGGAAAAGAAATGAATGCAGTAATGCGCCATTGAAAAAGAAGGGAGAGAGTGTGGTTGTCACTGGGTACAGAGCAAGCAACCACAGGAAAGAAGACAGGAACAAAAGGAGGGAGACAGTACAAGCCCCACCCAATCCCAACTCGACAACACATCCCCTAACCACAGAAAACCCTTTTTTTTCCTTCTGAAAAAGAAAACAACAATACCAACTCCCCACATCTCTCATTTCATTTCATCCCTTTCCCATCCATCTATCCCTTCCTTCCAAGCCAGTACCACCGTGGTTTTGATATTTCTTTCACATATACCACCACCAGTCCACCATTACTGCTATTCCTCCCTCCCTCTCTCTCTCTCTCTCTCTCTCTCTCTCTCTCTCTCTCTGATAAGAAGAAAAGTTAGCAGAGAGAATGGGGGGTTGCCAATTCTATATATGTGCACGGTGTCTTAGACAGAACCCCATTTAGGAACCAGAGCAAAGAGGGCTAAGAAAAAAGGAAACAAGTTAAACCCAGAAAGAGAGAGCTAGCCAGGAAAGAAAACACAGAAACAGAAACCCATTTTAGTGATAAGAGATCCTCCTTCTCTTTCATTCTGTTTCTGTGTATGTGTAGGTAGAGAGAGAGAGAGAGAGAGAGCTGTGGTAGCTGCTGGCATGCCATAGAAAGGGGAGGGTAAAACACACTACTTTTACTCCTACTACTAAATTAGATTGGGGTTTCAGGTGTTTGGGGGTTCTGTTTTTTTGTGGGTTTGTTGAGGTCTGGCTGTTTGGGTTATTTTGAGCAAAATTTATCTACCCACCTGGGAAAATTTATAATAGTATTTTGAGTCCAAGAATAATATCGTAAAATAGAAAAAAATGGGTCGGGGGAGAGTGCAGCTGAAGAGGATAGAGAACAAGATCAACAGGCAGGTGACGTTCTCCAAGAGGAGAGCTGGTCTGCTGAAGAAAGCCCACGAGATCTCTGTTCTGTGCGATGCTGAGGTCGCCCTCATCGTCTTCTCCCACAAAGGGAAGCTCTTCGAATACGCCACCGACTCCTCGTACGTCGTAATTCACTACCTAACTAACTATATATCTTCAATCTGGGTTTTCAGATTATGGTTTTATTTGGTTTCTATCCTTTTGGTATTTGATTTGAGTGAGCTTTAGCTTAATTGAGTCTAGGGAATGGTAATATTTTATGTTTCATTTTCTCTTTTTCCTTCTTCTGCTCTATTATTATAGTAGTACAGTACGTAGTTGGGAGTACACAGGAAAGATGGCTTCTTATTATCCGATGGGTTTACGACTGGTGTGTTTGTGGTGGTGCAACTTCCCATGAACTTTGGCTTTGGATCTCCCTTATGGGTTTTAATTCTTTTTTTTGTTTTGTTTTCGCTGTACGTTTGATGTGTTTTTACTACCTTTTGCTTTATTTTCTCTCCTGGAATGCTGATCTGTGATTACGGTTGTGTTGAAACATGTACAGCATGGAGAAAATACTAGAGCGCTATGAGAGGTATTCTTACGCTGAGAGGCAGCTTGTAGGTGCAGCTACTGAACTTGACACACAGGTAGTAAATAAATATATAAGTATTACCAATTTATCAATCTTACTAATTAATTAGCAACAAAGACTGATGAACAAATTGTGTGTACATAAACTCTGCAGGGGAACTGGGTAGTGGAGTACAACAGGCTCAAGGCCAAGATTGAGCTTCTGCAGAGGAACCACAGGTATATATATTAATCAAGTTTTGATTCCAACAGCTGTTATATTATGTGATGAGTCAATTGATTTTCTGGGAACCAAATTGGGGATGGTGCTGTTGAATTAATTGGTGCAGGCACTATATGGGGGAGGAGCTGGACACCATGAGCACCAAAGAGCTGCATAACTTAGAGCAGCAGCTCGATTCTGCTCTCAAGAACATTCGATCCAGAAGAGTATGTAATAAACATACATTATAATTATTATTATATTAATCCTAGCCTGCATGCATGCTCTATTGCAGTTTCTACTTTCCAATTAGTACTAAAGTTATTAGTATAATTTGTTTAATTGATTAAATAATGATAAAATATTCATTCTCTCTTGGATTCATGGCAGAACCAACTGATGCATGAGTCCATCTCTTCTCTTCAGAGAAAGGTGAGTCGCCAATTCTATATATTCAAGAGGGTGCTAGGCGTAAGACGGACGTTGAGACTTTGCCTAATTACCTCCTAGTTTATTTAGGCGTAGACTAAGTGTTTTTAGGTGTTGGAAGAAAAATAACTATTCGCTATGCATGATAAATGAAATAATAATCTACAATACTATCTCTTTTCAATTAAAATTATTAATAACTTACTCAACACTTAATGATAAGAACAAAACTGACTAATTCATGGAATATTGGAATCATAGCTCAATAGCTCACAAAGTTCTTGAGCTATTGAAAATATTGATATAGATAATGGATTTCGGAGTTGGACATTAATTTTTTCATTTAATATTGACTTCTTAGCTCCCTCTAGTTATGTTTAGGAGAGACTTAGATGACACCTTACTCCATTGACGTGTTTTAGTATCTAATTAGGCGGGAAACCCTTAGACGAGGCATTTTTCCATTGCCTTGTGCCTAGGCGTGCCTAAGCATGCCTTTTCGAACCATGAATTATATATATATAGGTGCACTCACAAAAATGAGTGTGTTCAATGCATTCAACTCAAAAACTAGTCTTGAGGTGTCGGATTTTGAATTTTAATTTATAAAATTAGTGTAATATGATTATATAACATATGATAACACCTAATTAACGGATTACCCTAAGCTCTAGACCTCCAATTTTGAATTCTATTTCTAAACCCCAAATTATAAACCCTAACCCTAAATATCTAAACTCTAAATCCTTCAAATTAAAGTAAATCTTGAATGGTTTTTGTGCAAATCCGGTGTTTTATTGTTCATCACATCATAAGTGGTTATTGACATAATTTTGACATGAATCACATGTTTAAAATGACGGTTATGAAGCGAGTGCATTGAATGCATCCAAAAAAGTGAGTGCGCTGAAGACGCCATTATATATATATATACTATAATTTATTTACTTGTTTTCTTGTGTAAGCTATATTCTAATTCTCATTTCTATACAAATGCTTTTTATGCTTCCAATATTTATAAAAATATGATAATAAGTTAATATATAATTAATTATCCCTCGCACTTATAACACATAGTATGTGCTCTTAAATTGTAAAAAAAAAAATGCTCTTAAATTGTAAAAAAAAAATGCTCTTAAGTTGAACTATATGTAATACAAAGAAAATGATTGAGAATTCCACCTACACAAAATAGATAGGCTCAGGTGTTAAAAGTGGATACCTACATGGTAAATTTTGAATGTAGGAAGCAGGCAAGAGTTTCTATATAGTACGGATTAGTTTTAAGCTCATTTAGAACGTCTGTATGGTAGTATCCCTTGTTATTGAATTTAGTTTGGATAATGCATGTAAGTAAGTTACTATTCAGTCCATTTTAGGTTAATCAAGGTTAATGGACCCATATAGTAATTAGGATCACTCAATTTGGATAAAGAACTTTAATTCCTCGATTTATTCTTCTAGTCTAGTAGGCAGTAGCTATCACAACAAACATTTTTCAAGATGGTGTCTAATATGGTGGTCAGATTGGTTTTAGTTTCCCGATTTTAACCAAAACCAAATCAATAAGAAGTTTAATGGTTTTGAAACTGTTTAACATCTTAATGGTTTTGACTCTAGTTAAAAATGATAAACCAATAAGAAACCTATAACATCCCTTACTATTTACTAAGCCTATATCTATCAATAACAACGTTTTGTCACCAACTTATGTGTAGTTGTTTTCTTTTCTAATTCCAATTTTTGAATTTCCCAAATGATGGGGTTGGTTTTTATTTCTTAGGTTCATCCAAACTAAACCAAAACCGATAGAGGACTTATCGATTATTGTTTAACAAATAACCAGTAAGGCACTTAACCGTTTTGAATTTTGGCAATTTGCCAAACTGAGTGACAACCCGAGTGTCTAGTATGTTTCGATTGACACCATCAAATGACTTGAATGGTTGAAATTTTTTATTGATACATTATCATTAGACGAGCTGTTTAATATAATAATGCTAAGTATAAGATTTTCTGTAGTCTTGGTCTCACATCAATTAATTGATTTACAAATTATGGTTTACATAACATTCTACCAAACCTTTTGTATCTTTGACAGGAAAAAGCAATCCAAGAGCAAAATGATGTTCTAGCCAAGCAGGTCGGTTGGTCAATTATGACTTTTCGAATTGGATCATATGATCAAAGAACATTATGAAAAATTCATCTTATCATTTACAGATCAAGGAGAAGGAGAAGGCAGTGGCAGTGGCAGAACATCAACACCAGCAGCAGCAGCAGCAGGCATTCTGGACACACCAAAACCATCATGCTCCAAGCCCTTCACATTTCCTTCTTCCACAGCCACCACCGTCACTCCCTTGCTTGAACATTGGGTAAGTTCTTCCTTGTCACTACATCTTACATTAAACCCCTACCCCCAATCTTTTTAGTTTTTCCTTTCAACTCCTCCAATTCTTGCTTGTTTATGGATTGACTGCAGTGGAACTAGTTACCATGAAGATCATCATCACCGCCAGCAGGGTCCAGAAGGCAGGACGAGCAGGAATGACCTTGACCTCACCCTGGAACCCATTTACTCCTGCAACCTTGGCTGCTTTGCTGCCTGAAAAACATTGCACCTTCCAGTTTATTTCCACCATCGAAGGGAGCTCACTTATCAGGCTCTCAGCCATGATGCACTCTTAATGTGTATACACATTGGCTAGCCAAGGCTGCTAATTTTGGTTGGCATATTTAGCTCTTATGAATTGCTTTTCACATATATGTCTTGGGTATGAAACCATGAATTGTGAACTTGTGTTTATGTACTATATATAGTTGATAAGCATGTTGGTGAGGTGAAAGGAGACCTGTGGAAGGGACTGGAGTTTGATATATTGCTCATGAACTAGCTCTTGCCGCACTTATGGTGGTGATGATCATGACAAGAGCGTGTATATGAAATGTATATTGTGCATTTAGAGCTATTCCCAGCTTCATCTTCATTTGGAGGTTCTGCTGATGTGTGCTAGTTCAGATTCTGGTTAATTAAGGTTCATAAGTTCTTCTAGGGTTGATGCAATGAAACCAGAAATGTGTTGGCAAGAGTTGGATTGAGTATTCTGTAATCTATTTTAGGGGTTTATAAAGGAAATACTTCATTGTTGATTTAGCAGGAAATGGATTTAGGGTTCTGGATTCCATTTTAGGGTTTAAGGAAAGTCTAGTTCCTGATTCACCAAAAACTATGGAAAGTGGTGCATGATAAGTAGTACTCATTCCTGTTTGAATTCATATAGTATGATCCAGAAGAAAATGCTAGCTGTTTTGGGACTTCCTCGACTCTGAAGTAGGCTTTGCAACAGTGCGTTGGGAAGGGTAGGGCAACATTGTAAGTTTCTTGCTCCAGAACAACGTTCTTGGAAATCAAGTTACTGATTACTCAAGTGATCAACTTTCTTGTTTCCTTTTTTTTTTATTGTGTTCCATAGGGGAAAAAAAGTAACCATGACAAAATAGAACACATGATTGATTCCATGTTCACAAATTGAATGAAATGAACAAATAGATCGCCAAAATTGTAGATGGTGAAGAATTTTGTTTGCAGAATCCAGAGAAAAGGGGCTTCTTTTTCTACAAGGTGCCATGGCTCTCGGCAAGTTGAATACTCGTGCTCTCTCTTTAGGTTTCTTCCTCAAATATAAACTCCTGAAGGAATAGCGACAGAAGAAATCGAGTGTCCAAATTAACATCAGGATATTTACTTCAATATGAATTAATATCGTTGTAGAATTAGCAGTCACCTGATTGCATATTGGACATGCTGCACTTCTCTGCGCCCACTCCAGCACGCAGGAAAGATGAAAATAGTGCTTACATTGCATGTCAGTCCTCGGATTCTGACTATCATACTCTGTCAGAACATCATCAATACATCCATCAGAAAAATTATTCCAAGCATTCATGGAGGTAACCATTTTGAAGGAAGTAAAATTCTTCATATATACCTTCAAGGCATATGGGACATTCGTCCACCGCACCTGATGGGAGAAAGTCATCCAAGTCTGTAGCAGCAAGCTTTGAGGGGTAAATAACTGCTACTAAATTTTCTCCCTTACTTGACATTCCGCTTTGGTTTCCACGCTGCAACACAATGCAAAACCCTTCAATTTCAACATCGGCATTACCCTAGAGTATTCAAATATTAGTTCAGTCAACCACAAGTCCCAATTGGGTTTCTCTATACCTCCATGAAAAGGGAGCTGGAGCTCTCGGAAGATCGATCCCTGTGGTTGCCGTTAGCATTTTGTGATGGGCTATCAGCAAGACCAAGGCAAGACAGAAACCCACCCATTGCTTAGAGAAATTACAAAACTTTGAACTTTGCGATCTCAGTAGATAATATGCCTCTGCTGGACACGTAAAATAGAGATTGCCAGTGTAAGAACCCTGATGGGTTAGATAGATAACACAGACGGTGAAACAAAGGCTTGAAAATTTTCAGTCAGGGATTTACTCAAACACGTAGCCAACATAAACTATGAAGCATAATTCTGACACAATTGCGCCTGACCCAGATGGTTTAGAGTGCTCGGAACTTGAAGCCAGAGGAAACCCAATTCTAAGGAATGCAAACAATGAACAGGGTTGGCCAAGGACGTACATAGGAACAAAGAGATGGAGGCAAAAAGAAGTTGTTGCAACCTTTGCTGCTACTGGTATGAAGTTCTGTTTGCTAGCTTTGGTCTTTCTTTTTCTTCCTTTTTTCCAGGAGTTTAAGCTTCAAAGCTCCTCACATTTACCTCGTTCGAAACTGAAAAGGACCTGGAAGAAATCAAAGTAAGAATCGGAGAAGGGAAAGGAAAATTTGTTAGGGAGGTTGAGCAATTTTCAGCATTTCTCTGACGAGATCTTCGTAACAGAGTAAGAGTGTTGGACTGAGACCTATATGGGCTATTTGACACATGAGGTTTTTTCGTGGACTATGTTCGTGGGTCTATTAATGGGCTCAATTATCAGCCCAAGCCCATTAACCCATCCTTTCTTCAACCCCTAAAGCCACCTGTAATAACAACATGAGAAACAGAAACAGAACCCCTAAACCCTGAAACCGGTCCTCTCTTTCCCTCCTTCCGGCTGCTGCCTTCGCCAGCCAAATCGCTCGCCATGGCCAAGACTCAGAACAAAGCTCACAAGAATGGCAGCCAGAAGAAGAAGGGCAATAAGAGTAAAAGAAACGGTCCAACAGCGGTCGCAATGAAACAGAAGGCTCCGGCGGCGGACAATCCTTTCGAGACGATTTGGTCCCGCCGCAAATTCGACATCCTCGGCCGGAAGCGCAAGGGCGAAGAGCGCCGAGTCGGCCTCTCCCGCTCCAAGGCCATTGACAAGCGGAAGAGCACGCTGTTGAAGGACTACGAGCGGAGCACCAAGTCATCTGTGTTCGTCGACAACCGGATTGGAGAGAACAACGATGAGCTTGGAGAGTTTGATAAAGCGGTTATGCGGTCGCAGAGGGAGCATAAGGTTCAATTTCTCCTCTGTTGACTGGAAGCTAGTATAAATGTAGCGTTCTTGGTCCTTATGGATTGCGGAGAAGTGTAAAATATGCAAATTTTATGTTGGTGCTTATGAGTTTTGGGTTCAACTTTTGTCAGATGAAATTGGGGAAGAGGAGTAAGTACAACTTGTCAGATGGAGAGGAGGATGATTTTGGCACTTCCGCTCTTGGCTCGTTTGGGGAAAGGGATGATTTTGAGGATGAAGTGCCGTTTGATGACGAAGATGATTATGGAGAACAGAATGGAGGAAAAAGTATGTATCGACTGCTTATTGCCAGCAGTAATCTTACTTAATTGCGGGTTCTGTTTAGTCCATTTCTTCCTATTGGTTCTTACGTCTTATAATCCTCAGAGTAACTCATTGAAATGGTCTTACTAACCTGACAAGAAATACAGATTGCGGGTTCAGTCAAAACTTGGTTAAAGCACAGAAATAGTCGTCTCTTGTTAGGTTAGGTTTTGCCTATGGCTAAAAGTCTGCTCGTTTCCTGTTATACAGAGAAGTCAGGAATCTTAAGGCATCTTAATGCTCCAAACGTGGGAGAGGATGGTACGACAGAAGCAGAAGAAAATGTAAGAATATTTTCAATGAGTTACTCTTTGAAGCTTTGTTTCTATCTTGCAAGAATCCGTGATGACTGTTATGAAGTTGTACTGAACATTACCATTGCCATCAATATGGAAGACTTTCCATAATCACTTTGTCTTTGAAGATTGGCTTATAAGTATGCCTTTGCCAATGCTAAAAGCATGAATATACCTTTGCAGATACATAAATCAAAGAAGGAAGTAATGCAGGAGATTATATTGAAGAGCAAACATTTCAAGGTACACATCCTCAGTTTTCCTGTTGAAAGTAGCTAATGGTAACGCTGACATTATTTTCTGATTTCATTTGGACACTCTATTTACTCTTACCAGGCTGAAAAGGCTAAAGAGAAGGAAGAGAATGAAAAGCTTATGGAAGAATTGGATAAGAAGTTCACATCTTTGGAGCAGTCTAAGGTTCTGTCATCTTTGATTGAGCCTGGCAAGAGTGCTTTGAAAGCTGCAGTGAATAAGATCATTCCTAAGGATGAAGACAAAAATAATAAGTTGTTAACTGCTAAGAAACCGGAAATTCCAAGTCAGGTATTACTTGATTGCTCTGAGTTCTGATTAAATTGCTTAGAGTAGGTTAAACTATTTATTGGTGTCTCACGCATGTAAAAAAAAGAGAGAAAAAAGCATATAATACATGGCATTTTATTCAAACATCTTTTTGGCCCAAACATTTCGAAATATGCGTCCTTTTTTCATTTTTCATGTAGCAATTGACATTTTTCTGCTTGTTAGTGAACATTCTGTATTTTGTTTACTTTGATGTTGTAGTAACTCCAATCAATTCTTTATTTGGAATTGCTAGAAAGCTCTAAATTCCAGTGAACATTTCCTAATTTGTTGGCATGATTAAAATATTTTTCGTGTCTATGTAGGAACAACCTGATTATTACGATAAGCTTTTCTCTGAGATGGTGTTCGATATTCGTGCTCGCCCATCAGACAGGACTAAGACACCAGAAGAAATTGCCCAGGATGAGAGAGAGCGCCTTGAACAATTAGAGGTACGTTTAAACCTTGATGAGTATGTGCGATAGCAACAGCATGTAAGCAAGCTGCTATTTGTTACCACACAGTTTAGAATGTTGAATCATGAATTTTTAATCACTCAGGAGCCATAGATTCAGTATAGCTACCACTTGTGTTCTCTTTATTTCTACGGGGCTGAGACAAAGTTCATTATTCTTAAATTCTGATCAGCTTGAACCACAGTCAATCTGGCATTATGTCAAAGAAATATATATCTTACCGTTTCATCCTCTGGTGACCCAATCATGGTATGATAAGCTAAGATAACAATCTCTCTGCAGCTTCTTACCTGAAGCCCAAACTTGGAAGTAGGAAGATGCTGACACTTGTTTTGGCCACATTTTGATACTTTTATGCTGGTGTTTCTCTAGTGTCAAGAACATTTTAGGACCTTAGGGCACTTGGGGCTTGGCCTTTTGCTTATATATTTGAGTACCTGTGAAGTATAAAACTGCGTGGAAAGGTTTGAAATCTTGCTATGGTTACCAATAAGAGAAATAGGAACGATGTGCATATATGAGGTAGTGCCTTCTTTCATTTTAATGGAAAGTACTTTTGTAGAGCCCTGCTGTATCCAAAGTGTACTTTACCAATAAGAGAAATAGGAAATATGTGCATATTTGAGGTAGTGCCTTCTTTCATTGTATGGAAAGTACTTCTGTAGAGCCCTGCTGTATCCAAAGTGTACTTTGAGCTTTTCAGGTTTGTGATCTAACAATGTAGCTCACTAGCTTGTAGTTTGACCTCTCATATTATCGTTCCACCTGATGATTTCAGGAGGAGAGGCAGAAAAGAATGGTCGCAGCTGAAGATTCGAGTGATGAAGACAAAGGTGACACTGAGATGGCCTCAAACCAGAAACGTCAACCAGCATCTGGCGATGATCTTGGTGATTCCTTTTCTGTTGAAGAGCCTGGAACTAGAAAGGGATGGGTTGATGAGATCCTTGAAAGAGAGGAAGCTGAAGAGGATGACGCTTCTGAGGCTGAGACTGGTGAAGATGATGAAGGATCGGAGGAAGAAAGTGACGAGGATGCACGTGACAAGGCCCAGTCTTTGAAGGACTGGGAACAGAGTGATGATGAGAATCTTGATACAGATTTGGAAGAAGATGATGATGACGATGATGATGATGATGAGAAAATTGATGATGCAAAGAAAGTTACTGAGCCGATTGGCGTGAAAAGGTCAAAGAAAAGTGCTGTGACCAAACCCGCGGAAGTTAATGATGAAACTCAGAATGCTAAGAAAAACAAAACAACCAGTGAACGGCGATCAGTGCAACTAGACATTCCATTCTTGATTGAAGCCCCAAAGAGTATGGAAGAACTTTGTGCCTTGATAGACAATCGTTCTAATAGTGACATCCTTGTTGTAGTCAATCGAATTCGAGCAAGCAATGCAATAAAGCTAGCTGCAGAAAACAGGAAGAAAATGCAGGTATGAAGGTTTATTTGATATCCAGCTGGCAGTTAATAAGTTTTTAAATGTTTGTGGAATGTTCGGTTAATGGTCACTGCTGATCCTACAGTCTCGAGGCTGGTTTATATAGTAATTTTGGAAGTGGTGTTAATAGAAATTCAACATGGTGAAAAGGTTGCCTATTGAAGATAATGCTTTCATTTGGGTATCATAACTTTGATTTCCTGAAGGCATGACTCTTGCTCCGTTCTTTCCGAGATAAAATATCATAAGGTGTTATATTTAATAAATCAGGTTATTCTTTAGAGGACGCACAAGATAGTACGCAGGTGTGAATGGATTGATTCAAGCTTTATTATTGCTTTTGATTCCCGTACTATCACTATTGCTAATTAGTGTTTGCTCTTCTCCAGATATTCTATGGTGTACTGTTGCAGTACTTTGCAGTTCTAGCTAATAAAAAGCCCTTGAATTTCGAGCTGTTGAATTTGCTTGTCAAGCCCCTAATGGAGATGAGCTTGGAGATCCCCTATTTCTCTGCAATCTGTGCTCGACAGCGTATTTTGAAAACTAGATCGCAGTTTTGTGAGTCAATAAAGAGTCAAGGTTGGTTGTGAACTTGAACATGAGAGTGGTTGGTTTCTTCAGAAACTGTTCAGACTGCCTTTTGGTTTAATGGGGTCCATTTCTTTTTCTTGCAGAAGGGAGTTGTTGGCCATCTTTGAAAACATTGTCGTTGTTGAGGTTGTGGTCCATGATTTTCCCATGCTCAGACTTCCGCCATGTCGTCATGACGCCAGCAATATTACTCATGTGTGAATATTTGATGCGTTGCCCCATCTCATCTGCTCGTGATATTGCTGTTGGCTCTTTCTTATGCTCCATGGTTCTCTCTGTATGTACATTTGGTCCATCTTTGATTTCTCTATTCTATAATCACTTTCTATTACTGGTGTGTCACTTGTATTTCACAACCTAATTTAATTTGCATTAGAGACTTTCAAAAACTATTTTAATTGATACAAATATGTTACAGATCACTAGAGATTCTCGGAAGTTTTGCCCGGAGGCTATAATTTTTCTACGAACCCTGCTTATGGCAGCCAGCCAAAGATTGCCAGACTCTCATCAAGAATCTCAGGTATAAACTGGTATGGTTGTTAGTTTTTGTTATAGGTTGTCATAACTAATAAGTATCGTTAAGAGGTTGTCAACTGATGGAATGCGAAAAATCACTTGTTTGTTTTAGTGGAAGATTTCTATCAGTGTATAAATTCGTGATTTGTAATTCCATCTACTGAAAGAAAGTGGAATTCAAAATCTCTCAATTGTCAGACAGTTTGTACTTATTTTCGATCGAAACATAAAAAGGAATGGAGGACAACATAAAACAAAACAAAGAGGTTGCACTTTTACATTCCCAATTTTGTGATTTCCTCTATCAGCATTCATGTACTTGAAATCACACATGCAAACAACGTATCTCTAATTCAACCTAATTCCACTATCCATCTTTTAGCAAATCCTTCCGTCACCCACCTACTAAGAAATTTCACATTCAAACGATCCAAGTTTGTTTTTGTTTCGTTTGCATAAATGACGGGTGCCTTCAAATTTCCCTGTACTTGTTGGCTATGTCTCAGTGTGATCTGCTGCTGTTTTATTTGAATGGCCGAGTACTAACTGGTAACTACGCTTGTGTTCTTTTCTTTTTGTTTCAGTTTCATCCCATCAGAGAGTTAAAGGAACTTAGGCCCCTGCTTAATATACGTGATGATGTGCCAGAGATTAGCCCTGTTAGTTTCCTTTCAGTTATGGATATGCCAGAAGACTCATCGCTTTTTGCCTCGGACAATTTCAGGTACAGAAATATGCTATCTTCCTAAATTGCAACCTCATTGAGAAATTGCTGTTTCTGAAATTTCGAGTCCTGCCATTCCTCTGTTTATATGCAAGTTTCAAAGTTTCTGGGTACAAATGCATAATCAAGAGCCCTGATGATTCTAAGCTTTCCGATAGTCTTGAATGACTGCTAAATTGACATGAGAACCCTTATGCAGGGCAAGCGTGCTGATCACTGTGATAGAAAATCTAAAGGGGTTTATTGAAATGTACGGAGGGCTCAGTTCCTTCCCTGAAACCTTCCTACCTATTTCAACACTATTGCTAGGGTTGGCAGAACAGGGAAACATGCCGCCTGCATTACAGGAGAAAGCGAGAGAAGTTGCTCTCCTCATCAAGCAGAAAGCTGATGACCATCATCTCCTGCGTCAACCACTACAGATACGGAAGCAGAAGCCAGTCCCCATCAAATTACTTACCCCGAAATTCGAAGAGAAGTATATTAGCCACCTCCATTTAATCTCTTCACAGTTTCTGGTGTTTCTTGAAACCCGTTTTAAGAGTGCAGAAATTGAACACTATATATATATAATTTTTTTTTTTTTTTCTTCTTCAATTCTGTGTGCAGCTATGTGAAAGGTAGAGACTATGACCCAGATCGAGAGAGGGTAGAGAGGAAGAAATTGAAGAAAGAACTAAGACAGGAAGCTAAAGGAGCAGCTCGTGAATTGCGTAAAGACAACTATTTCTTGCTGGATGTGAAGGCAAGAGAGAGGGCCCTGAGGGAGGAAGAAAAAATGGAGGCACACGGTAAGGCAAAGGCGTTCCTTCAAGAACAGGAGAGTGCTTTCAAATCTGGCCAGTTGGGAAAAGGCAGGAAGCGCCGAAGATGAGATGAGGTTCCTGCTCCCGTACTTGAAAACATTTCATGCTGCTTTCTGGGTGTTACGTAATTTAATTTTCCGCCTCCATGGCTGCTACTAGAGTCGTGTGAACCATGATTGGAATCAAAATTTTGTCCTAGTCTGGAGTTGTTAAGCAATTTTTTTCCTAGTTCTGCACGGTGGAAGTGAGAGAGCAGTATGATATGGACGCAAATAAACATAAGTCTCCAGGGAAATGCAAACTTCAAAATGCACATTACTAGGACAGCATTTTAAACATCATTCAGATTTAGACATAACAGAAAGGGACAGTAGCACACTAGCAGAAGCGAAAACGATAACAGATGGATGGAACTCTTATTATACTAGAGCAGGATAGGCTTCTCACGAAGCTTTCTTCTTCTTCATCATCTACTTGTTGCGAAGATCGCGGAAGTAGCCAGAAGGGTTCTTCTCGAAATCATCCCTGAGAATGCGGCCGTCCCTTCCAGGAGCTTTCATTGTCTTGTCGTTGGTGCTGGTGCTTTCAGAGCCTGAAAAGAGGGAAGCTATCCCGTAAGCTGCAGCTGCTACCCCGGCCACAGCAGCAACCGCTAGACTTATGCCGCTGCTATCCTCATCTTTTCCTGACATCTTTGATTTGATTCCTGCAAAAGATAGTGTTTTTGCGAGTGTTGGCTCTCTCGTATGAAACTTGACAAGGTTGGACGTGGGGTTGTGATGGATTAGGCGCCTTATTTATACTGCAACTTTGGCTGTGTTTCGGCAGTTAGTGGGTTTGCTTGCATGTAAACTTATTGGCCAAGTAGATTGCTCTGTAAGTTCCCAGAAGAGCTTTCTGGAATTGGGAGCTGCTTTTATGACTTTCCCAACAACTTTTGCTTTTCAATTACTATTACTGTTATTCCCGACGTGATAGGGAGTAAATATTTGAATCACCACTTATTTATTGTTAACAATGGATGGAATTAGAGCCTTGTAAAAAAAAAAAAAAAACAAATTGGGATGGAATTGAAGCAAACCATAGAGACATAGGTCAACTAACAGTCCAATATAGAGGGCGACTCAGGTTGTTGGTCGTTGGAGGGGGTCAGTCGACGTAAACGTAAAGACTTCTAAATTTCCCAATGCAGGAGAGAACTGAATGCCCCGAAGCTTGAGGGCAGCAGTTCATTTTTCATTTAATTTTTTTTTTCCACATATCAGTGATATATTCACTGGTGTGTTTGCTTAACACCCAAGGTTGTTAACTCGCGGTTTATGTGTGGTTTGACCTGAATTGATTTGGACCTGATGAAAAAATTGGGTGCTATATATCCACGACTGACCTGCAATAACGTATTTCGGTTCGGAATCACGAAATCGTTTTTTTCTTTCTTTCTTTGGTTTGTGAATTGCATTTTTCCCAGTTTTATCTTACGCTTAATCCCATTTTTTAAATTCTAAGTTGAACATTTGAAAATCAATGTTATATGAGTGTGTTTGAATTTTTATTATTTGTTGGATCAAAGTACAAACTGTTATTTTGTTTTAATGCATGTTATATATAATTACTCATATATTTACATTAGATTTGATATAATTTATAATTGTGAACAATATAATAAATTTTTTCATATATATATATATATATATATATATATAAACTAAATTAAATAAAGATATATGATTATTAACCCTCAACCCACTAGCTCGACAAGAGCTAAATCAAGTTGACAACTTTGCTAACATGGAACTTTCGAGTTCACAATTCGACCGTGACGTATGCACGAGTTGGGCCAAAGGTTACATACAAAATCTTGAACCAAACTGAGACAGTACCCAAGGCCTAGTTAACTCATTGGCCCGTGAAAAAGCAAAGGATGGGCCGCATAGTTCAATTTAGCCAAGGTAGTCAAACCGATTTATGCTCGTGTGCCGGTTTAGCAAGTGAAATAGTTCAATTGGTGGCAGATATCGGCTTGTGCCGGTTCATGCCTGTCAATATTACAAATAAAATTATAAATACTCATATTTAAACATGACATTTAACGTCAATACCTAAACATTTATACTTGAATCCAACAAATAACACCAATATTTAACTTTTATAATCATAAAATAAATAATAAAATAATTTTTATCAATTAAATTCACTAACATATGGTTATTTTATTTAGAGATTCATATATCGATCATGCCAAAGGTGTCACGCCGATTTTATAACCGGTACCGGTTGAACCAGGTTCAACTGGTGGCACGCCGCCGACATGACAACCGTGAATTTAGCCTTGTATTCTAGAATAGGCTTCCATAGTTCCATGGTCCATATACCAAATCATAATTAACATAAACAATATCCTAACTCCTAAGGGTCATTTGGAGAAAATGATTTGCACTGTGGATTCAGTAATATGTTACGTTATTTTGTTATCTTTTCTATTGTAGATTTTTATCTTTAGATATTTCCAATTTTCAAAATTTAGAGATAAAGAATTATTAGAAATTCTATATCTTGATATTGTGGTTATTCCCACCTATAAATAGGTTAAATAAAGTATTGACTTTTTAATTGATTATTCAATATATTTTCCAAACTGGACCATCACCCCGCCATATACGAACGATGTTGTAATATATAAGCTACCTCTTCTTTATATAAACCAATTATATAACAAACCATGAAGTTGGTTGTTGCCTTGTTGGTAGCCTGAATTTTTTATAAGAGTCCAATTTTTCTATAAAAATATCGTAGGAATAATTTAGATAATTCATCAATAATAGCTTTCTCTAACCTCTCTCTACGAACCGTCCCGTTCTCTTGCGATGGCGGCCTCGTCGTCGGAACCTGTTCCGACGACGGGAAAGGCTTCTGGGGTAGTACTTGGGCGCAGTTATTCGACATAGCTCCGGAGAACAGGATGAAATATCGCCCGCAAGAGCGTGTCAATGATGGATTTCGAATTCCCCGGGAGGTTAAGGAAAAGGGGGAAGAGCGATGGCGTGACTGTCTGATTGGGAAATTCGTCGGAGCTCAACCTAAGGTGGCGCAACTTCAAACCTGGGCTACTGCAATTTGGGGGAGGGATGGGATAGTTCGTGTGTCCAGATTTGGGGCTCGTCTGTTTGTTTTTCAGTTTTCCTCTGCGTCTACGAGCAAGTGGGTCTTCTAATCGGGGCCGTGACATTATCAAGGGAATCAGCTCTATCGCAGGAAGTGGGTTCTGGGGATTCAGCTGGTTGCTCCTCATGTACAGACTTTTCCTATCTGGTTGAATATTTGGGGGATTCCTTTGGAGTATCACTCGCTCGATGGTTTGGAATGGTTTGCTAGTACTCTGGGTCCTCCCCTCTGGATGGATAAAACCACAAGGGTGGGTGGACAGTTGGGGTTTGCCAAAGTGTGTGTGGATCTTGCAGTTGATTGTGGCTTCCCCTCTAAGGTTCGTCTCTACCCTGATGATGATTCGCCCTTTGATGTTGAAATTGAGTATATGAATTTGTCTAGCGTTTGCCCTGTCTGTGCTGTGTATGGTCATGATTGTAATTTTTGGCTAAGAACAACAAGAAATGGGTAGTCAAGACGAAAGTAAATGCTGAAGAAGTTGTTAAGCCAAGTGATGGGTTAAATTTAGGGCAAGCAGGTGCTGGATCTGGGGAGAAAACTGTAGAAGGTTATGTACAGCAGACTAAAGAAAGTAATGCCATAGTTAGTTCTGTAGTCAATGTGGTATTGGAGGATTTGATGCAGAAGGGGGAGTGTGCTGCTGGTGAGAGTGACCAGAATCCAAACTCAGCAGGGGTCAAGTGTCTCCTACTCCTCAATCAATTGGGAGTGCAACTGTAAGGTTTGTGGATGTGGTTCTAGGATCATCAGTTGAAACTGGGAGTCCTAGTTCACCACCGCAACAGTCTGCTGAGATTAGTCCACCAGGTTCTGGGAGGCTAGTTCTCAGACTCCTACACTTGTAAAGGAGAAGGAACCGAATCCATGGATAACAGTTGGGGGCTCAAAGAAGAACCTTACCACTCTTAGAGTTGCAACACCTGTTCTTCCTCGTAAAGGGGGGAGGGCTGGTAAGAAAAGATGAAGATACTTCCCTGGAACATCTGGGGTTTTAATGACCCAGATAAGAATAAAGCTGTTCAACAGCTAGTAAATAGAAACAATATAGATATTATAGTTATACTAGAGCATAGAGTTAGAGCAAACAAGGCTGATGAGCTAATAAATAGGAGGTTTCCTGGCTGGAAGTCAAAGGTTTCGAATAATTCTGCGGGATTGGGGAAGTTATGGATTCTTTGAGTTATTCATACAACGGATCAATTCATTCATTTGATGGTTGGATCTGGGGTTCCTTTCTTTATGTCTGTGGTTTATGCTTCAAATGAAGAAGTTGACAGAAGACTCCTTTATTTGGATTTGGTTAAGTATCAAGTTAGCTCTATTCCATGGGCTTTATTGGGTGATTTTAATACTATTGGGGATCCGCTTGAGGCTTCTAATTCCCCTCAATTTTCTAGTAGCATGTTTGATTTTCGACAATGGCAGTATGACTGTGAGTTGGAGGAGCATAAGATTTCAGGGCTGTGGTTTACATGGATCAATAAACAACAAGGAAATCCCATAGCCAGAAGACTTTATCGAGTTTTTGTTAACACGAAGTGGTTGGAGGATTTGTCTTCAAGTTCTGTGGTTCTTCTTGACCCATCAGTGTCTGATCACTGTCCTACACTACTTAACTCAGACTGTTCATTCAAGTCTTTGCCTAAACTGTTTAAGTTTTTTAAATTCTGGATTGAGCATCCTCAATTCATGGATCTGGTTAAGCAGGCCTGGAACTCACAGGTTGAAGGCTCTCCACTAGTTCGTGTTTGTCAGAAGTTGAAGATTCTAAAGGGTTTCTTAAAGAAACTTAATAAGGATCTTTATTCAGATTTGAGTGAGCGAGTTCGTTCAAAGGCTGCTGAACTTCTTGTGGCACAAGCTGATGCGCTCAATAATCCGTCTCTACTTACTTTTGAAGCTGAGGTCAGAATTGAAAAAGAGGCTAAAGAGTTGCGTGAGGCGGAAGAGTCATTTTTTAGACAAAGATTGCAGAGGCTGGTCACAGGGTAACAGAGAGAGAAATATGATCATATCCCTTATTAATGAGGGGTTTTATAGAAAACTATTGGGGGGGGAGGGGAGAGAACGATAAGGAAGTTGTTCCTCCTGAAGTAGATAAGATTAGAGAGATCTTGATGAAGAAACTGTTGCCTGAACAAGGAGATGACCTGTGTAGACCAGTTACTGCTGAGGAAATCAAAACCACTCTGTTTAGTTTTAATGGGGAGAAGGCTCCTGGCCCTGATGGTTATCCCGCTTGTTTCTTCCAAGCTGCCTAGAGTATTGTGGGTGATGAGGTAACTACTGCTATTCTTTATTGTTTTCACGTGTCTAGCATCCCTGTTAGCATAAATTCCACACTCTTAGCCCTCATTTCCAAAATACAAAGTCCTGAGGAAATGAACTTTTTTCGTCCTATTTGATGTTGCAATATACTCTATAAGTGCATCGCTAAGATCCTGGTGACTAGACTAAGTTCTATCATGCCAAGTGTTATTAGCGAATCTCAGACTGCTTTTGTTAAGGGTCGAGTCATTGGTGAAAACATTTTGCTTGCTCATGAATTAGTTCAGAAATATGGTAGAAAAATATTTCTCCTAGATCCGTTGTGAAAGTTGATCTAATGAAAGCGTTTGACTCTGTGGATTGGGGATTTCTGTTCAACGTACTTCAAGCAATGGGGTTCCCTGATAGATTTCTTGCCTGGTTAAGAATGTGTGTTACCACTCCGAAGTTAAGTATTGGAGTTAATGGTGGTTCAGTAGGCTATTTTCCTGCCAAAAAGGGTTTGAGACAAGGGGACCTTCTCTCTCCCTATCTCTTTGTTGTTGCCATGGAGATATTCTCATGTCTGATGAATAAGGCTGTCCTCCAGAATGCTATGCCTTTTCATCCTGTGTGCAAAAGATTGAAGTTAACCCACTTAATGTTTGGTGATGACCTCTTACTATTCTCGGATGGTTCAAATTCTGGGATTCAGTGCATTAAAAAGGTTCTAACCGACTTTAGATATATGTCTGTCCTTCAATCCAATCCTTCGAAGTGTGAACTTTATTGTGGGGGGGGGGGGGGATCAATGACCAATGGCAAGAATTGATGGCAAAATACTCAGGGTACAAGTTGGGCACTCTACCTGTACGTTATCTAGGGCTTCCCCTGTTATCTGGGAAGCTCACTGTTAAAGCTTGTAAACCCCTCATTGACAGAGTTGTGAGCAGAATAACTAGTTGGAAGTCTAAATCCCTCTCTTATGCTGGTAAGCTTCAGCTTGTTGTGTCTGTGCTGTACAACCTATCTCAGTTTTGGATGTCAATCTTCATCCTCCCTAAGGCTGTCATTAAAACTATAGAGAAACTTTGTAGTGACTTTTTGTGGGGAGTGGGTGAGGATACTAGGAAGAAAGCAGTGGTAGCCTGGCCTCGCATTACCTTTCCAAAAAAAGAGGGTGGTGTAGGACTCAGGGACATGTGTACTTGGAACTTTGCTTGTGTCATAAGGCATATCTGGGCTATATTATTGAAACAAGGGTCTTTGTGGGTGGCCTGGCTTTGGAAATTTCGTATTAAAGGGGGAGATTTCTGGACTTTAACTTCCAAAGCAAGTTCTTGGTTATGGCAGAAGTTATTGAAGATCAGAGATAAAGTCAGAGTATGGTTTTCTGTGGCATCTGATGGTGTCTATTGGAAATGTGAGATTATAATCAAATACAACATCATGAAAGTTTGGGAGGAAATCCGTCCCAAAAGAAGCTCTGTTACTTGGAAATCACTAGTTTGGAAAGGCCCTAGCATACCTAAAAACCAGTTCCTGGTTTGGTTGATTGTCAATGACTTTATCATAACTGGAGACAAGGCTTTGGTTGGTTGTGTTTTTTGCTCGTGTAGTGTGAAAACAAGGTCTCATCTTTTTGCTGAATGTCCTCTATTTAGACAGATGTTTGCAACGCTGTTTGCCAATTTTGCAACAAGAACTCCTGGGGATCAGTGGCTCCCTGAACTTCAATGGGCCATTACTCAGTTTAAGGGTAGCACTGTTTCTTCTCAAGCTGGAAAGATGATCTGGCAGGCTTTGATTGCTTCAATTTGGCGAGAGAGATGTCTGGTGAAGTTTGGAGAAAAGAAGTTCAATTTACAAGATCTGGTGCTGTTGGTTAAGAGGGATATTTGGGTGGTTATCGACCCTGTAGTCTTAACTCTGCTCTTCTGATTGACTGATGTCTCTGTAGCTTTGATTGTTCTGGTAAGGTTTCTGAGTACTGGTCTATTTGTCCCTTAGCTCAACTGGTAGAGTTTTGTTACCAGTACAGTACTTGGTGATTTTTTGATGAAATGAAAATTCCACCCGATTCATAAATTTTTTTAGATAATGCACAATGCCATGCAACTTGACATATTTTGAAACACTTAGTAAGTTGCGTTCATATGATAATAATTTCAATATATTATACCAGATAATCATTCATAATTTTCTTACTCATTCAATTTTAAAAGAGTACTTTTCACATAGCTCATTGTGAAGGTTCTTCCAACATTTTCGATGAATATTTAGATAGCAACAATGCTAAGTTACTTGTTTCAATGATGTATACATTAGGTAAAAGTAAGTGTGCGAGTTTCAATAAAAGGGGAATTTTTTATAAGGGGTGATATATGTTTACTTTTTGTGGTTTAGATACTACTTAAGATATTTGAACATATGATCTCCAAATTGAAAAGCTAGTGGTATTACCATTAGACTAAGCCTTGTTCGTCAACATAAAAAGAAAATTTGGTGAAAGAAGATGAATAAGATTAAGAACTTGAGAATGTAAAGGATGAAATTATATTTTGTGGTAATATCATATAATATAGAAACTAAAAGTTATTATTGATGCAAATGACAACAACTAAGTACATTATTTAATCCTGATTTGGCAGTAAAAACATTATCTAATATTGACGAAATTTAAGGTTCAAGTCTCATTAACACCTGATTATATATCTATATATACATATTTCTTTCGAGCCAAGATAGGTCCTACGCCTTGGCTAGAAGATTATACCAATTTATTTAAAGAATCCCATAAGACAAGGTAAAATAACTATGCCAAATACCATACAAACATAGTGCGTAACAAGGAAAACACAAGCCAAAAGCACCCTCCACCTCCTCCTCCATTTATCTCTAGAGTGAACTCAGAATTACGTGAACTCCATTCTCAGGACGAACCATGGAAACATTACTAGGCGCATGTACGTAGCCAGGGGAGACTCTGAAAGAATATCGTTGTAGGATCATGGCTAAGGCTACCTTGGCTTCGTACGTCGCAAAGTTGAATCCCACACATGCGTGAGGTCCTGCTCCAAAAGGCATGAAGGCAGCTGGGTTGTTGTTCGTAGCGTTAGCAATGCCTTCCAAGAATCTGTCTGGTTTGAAAGCATCCACATCTTCTCCCCAGATTTCAGGGTCGTGGTGCATCGTCATGAACGGGAAGTGGATTTGGACTCCCGGAGGCACGACGAGCTTTCCGATCGTGGTTTCTGTATGGGTTTCACGAGCGAATCCTGAGAACACCGGGGTGTACAGCCTTAGAGTCTCGCTGATGATCATGCTTATCTGCCAAACAGAGAGAAAGAGAAAACCAAGAAACAAAATCGAACACAGTGAGCATTAGTCTTATCTCTGCTTAACTTTGTCTTGAACCGGTTGATGTCAACAACTTAACTTTATCCAGAACCATCGAGTTGTTGAGAGACGTCCAATAATCAATTATATATCAGCTAATAACATACCCTCTTAAACGAAAGCCAACCCATATAAGAGAGTTGAAGATTACGCAGGTCCGAATACCATGTGCTTAACAAATGGGTGCATCGTGATTCGAACACAAGACCGCTTAACCATCAAAGGCTCTGATACCATGTCAAGAACTAGTTTCTTCTAATAGCTCGAATTATTGAGACCAATTGATTTTTGACATGGTATCAGAGTTTGTTTGTCCTTGAGGTCACGTCCTCTCACAAACATCAATATAAATTGTTGTCTTAAAACTCGTGCTATGTGTTATGGGGTGCATGTGAAAAATTCAAGTCAATGAGTTGACTTGTATTTAAGGGGAAGTGATTAGTATCCATAAAATAATACCAACAACTTGAATTATTAAAACTAACGAGTTAAATTTCAACCTACAAGATACTTACGATTTTGAGCCTTGCAATACCATCAACATCAGGAGTCCTGTCATGGCCGAATAGATCCACGACCTCTTTCCTTGCGGCGTCCTGCCAATCCTGATGGATTGACAGGAGCAGAATCATCCAGGAAAGAAGAGAATTGGTGGTTTCCTGTCCCGCCAGATAGAGTGTTTTGCACTCGTCAATCAATTCCACCATGGAAATTTTCTTGGTTTCATCTTCATCATCATGATATCCCTGTAGAAGGAGCCCTAGATAATCCCTCCCATACCCATCAGCTACTTCTCCACTACTCTTTGCGTTTTCTTCTCTTTTCTTCACCATCAGCATAATGGATTTCACAATTCCCTCCTCCAGCCTCTCAGCTTCGATCTCGTCCCTACTTCTCCAAACCTTGCTGCAATATGCAAATTGCAAGAGAGTGGTATAATATTCTCCCAATAGTTACTAGTTAAAATCGGGATTTTGCGTAAAATTGGAATTGTAATATCGAATCGTAAAATCATAGAAATTGTAAGGTTCATATAAAAATAAACACGGAATAATATTAATAAAGAAAATCATAAATAACACATAACACTTACAAGATATTGATGTTTCAATTTATCAAGGTTAATATTGGAAAGTGGTGAATCGATGTTGATTAATGTGTTGATGTGAGTTGATCATGGTCGATGGTGGTTAGTGTGAGAGAACTAGATGATGTTGGTGGATGAGATGGAAAAAGGCATAATTTTGCAAATTTTAGGGAAAATAAGCAAAATAGACCCAAATATTTGAATCGTAAGATTTTAACGATTTAAATCGTGAATAGTGTAGGATTTTAAGGTTCATAGATTTTATAGTGAAATCAAGATCGGAATGGGTAAGTAAAATCGTTAGATTTTAGGATTTAAATCGGGATTTCAACTACTCTACTCTCAATAATCCGAGTTTTTGGAACCAACTAGTTTATGACATAATATTATATCTAGTTTGATCAAGTGGTCGGGTGGTTGAATGTCACAACTCTCAATATTAAGTGTTTATTTAAACACGATGTATGATGACTATGTGCAAAGTTTAAACTCGTGAGTTGACTTTAAACTTCTTGTTACCTGATGATTGGAAGTCTAAATGAGAGCATGTTTCTGTCAGCAAGCAACAAGAGACGGCTAATCATGTAGAAAACCTGCTGGCCTTCTTGGAAGCTACTCCCAAATGCCGTCCTGGAAATAATTTCTGATGTCAATATCTTGAACTCTTCGTGGACATTGAGCTCTTTCTCATGGCAATCCTTCCATTTCTCCAGCATCATCTCCACACTAGCAACCATTTCAGGAATCATTCCCTTCAACAGGATAAAAACAAAAATTCGATTAAAACCTACAGTTTGATTGATCACTTCCCCCAAACCCACAAATTTACAAAAAAAGAGTGTCTGTTTTACTTTGAGGTTCTCTCCGTGTAGAGCAAAATTCGCCAGCTTCCTTATCTTAGCCCACTTCTGACCTTCACTGGTGGCAAGCCCTTGACCGAAGATCTTCTTGTGGAAAGTAGTGTACAGTTCGGATTTGGGGAAAGACCCGACTTTGTTGCTCAGGGCCTCTTTCGCCATCTCCGGCTCGGACACCACCAGCTGAGCCCGTGGTCCGAGCCAGAACACAAAGTTCTTTCCTGTTAAAGGTTAAGAACGTTGAAACAGTCCAAAACCTCATAAAGCATACCACAAAGTTCGAGCCAGCGAGTTAGTTGCTTACCGTACTCCTTGGCCCATATGGAAACGTGGGGCAGTATCCTCGGAGACACATCGTGAGAAAGATCGGGCATGGGTTTTGCGAGTGCTTCACTTCTGAATCGGATGAGTTCTTTGACGTTTCCGATTAGGAAGCGGTAAGGAGGGCCTTTGATTCCCTGAGAATTCAGGAACCGTTGCGTGTGGAGAGGTTGCCATAGCACTTTGTGAAGGAAGTTGAAGAGGGCATAAGAGAGGCAGAGAGAAACAGAGATCAGAAACAGAGTCAACGGGGCATCCATCGGAATGCTGCTGTCAGAGGAAAAATGAAGTTCTTGAAGGCGAGCTTTCAACTTGACGAAGGAAAAGAAAAATGTTCATAGTTTTTAAGAAGAATATATTAGGATGTTTACCAAAAAAAAAAGAATATATTAGGTGAGGTCGTTTGGGGATTAGGGTACGGACAAAAGCAAGCTTTCGCGAATGAATCTGAAGAGGGGTGGCGGAGGAATCTGAACTGAACGTTACTGGATTTATGTGCTTGGTTTTTCTTTGTTTCTGGCTTTCTGCGTTATCAAGGCCGGCGTATTATGGTATGCCACATCCTGCGGCAGAGGTGGATCCGTGCTCTATTTTGAGAATATAAATATATTAAATATAATTTAAAATTCATTCATAGATGAAGAATAATCGACTAATGCAATTATTGGTTGTATAAACAACCATGACCGGTTTTCATATTCTAAACGAAATGCAAAGTACATTTGTTGTTTACAATCATAAGTAAATCTCGTTCAATATATCTCATCAAACAATCATTAGCAAACTGATCGCTACTTCGAGTTTGAAACTTGTTCTTGATATAGCTCAACCTGAAAATATTCTTTCTACACTTGCAGTTGCAACTGGTAGAAACAAAACTATCTTTAGAAGCAAATATATTGACATAAATGACTGATGCACTTTTTTCTCAACCATTACTCGAAATAATTCATTAATTCTTTTCAATTCAGCTACTTCTCATAAGAAATAATATCATGATAATATCCAACAAGTTGTTTTTATAGTGTCATTAATGAAATTAATAATTCAATAATTAAGTGTTAATCAATAAATAATTAATGAGTTGTGGTGTAATGACAAAACATCCTTATATTACTCATTGATGCTTAATTCGATTCTCAGTTAAGCATATGTGGATTTTTTTCCTCCCAAAAAATTGCCCTTGTCCTATGACAAGAGTTTTGTTGTCAAAAAAAAAAAAAAGTCCTATGACAAGAGCAAAATGCCCTGGCTCCTCCTATGACCACATCTCAATGTTTCTCTAGTTATGGGTTATCAAGACCGGCGGATATTGGTTATGGTGAGGCCAAGCACTTTTACCGCACTCGCCCTCAACTAACAGGTTATTCCCTATGTTTGGCCTGATTTTTAGAATTGATTTTCGGCTTAAAAAGTTTAAGTAGGGCCAAACACCTATAAAAACTCAGTTTTTGAAAAGCCGAAAAACGCTTTTGTACAATATAAAAGCAAAAGCTCCGATTTGGAGCTTCTGCGAAAAGCTGTTTTGAAAATACAAGATTATCCTTACCATATTTTGATTTTATTTCACAAAATATAATTTTCCTTCATTTATATCATTTTAAAAATAAAATAGATTATACAATCATATTATTTAATATAAAAGAAATCTAACAAGATCAATTTTGTTTATTTTTTATTGTTTAGAATTTTTATTCATATTTTATATATATATATTTTTTATGAATGGGTGGGGCTTTTTATATCATCAAAAAGTACAATCTGTACAATGTTCTACAAAGAGCTAAAACAGTTTACACTCTCTCCTCAACACGCAAAAACCTAGTACAATACAAGTCTATAACCTGTACCACAAACGTCGAGTCGTGGTTAGATCAGCAAACCCAGGATCTCCCATCTCTCTGGCTTCCATGACCTCCTGCATTCTCCGCACCAACTCTGCAACCAACAGTTGTTTCCCACCAAAGACTCTTCTACATCGTTCTCGCCATATCTCACTCAGCACAAGGCACCAAAGGATCCTGCCTATCAAACACTTATTAAATCTCTGGATGGCCAAGGATACTGCCTCCTGCAGGGTCCTGGGCACTGGGAAGCTCCATGAAGGGGGGAGGACTGCTCCCCAAGTAGACTGCACATACGAACACTGGAAAAAAAGATGAGACTTAGTCTCCACGTCATGTCCACAAAGAACACACAGATCATTCACTACAGGATTCCACTTTTTCACCACATCCATTGTATGGATACGCCCCAGTAAAATCAGCCATGTTATTGTCGAATTTTTTGGGATTCCTCCCTTCCATACCAGCTTCGACCAGCTTACTACAGTCCCTCTTGGTCTGAAACTCTGCCAAACCCTGCTAATTTTGAACTTCTCCATCAGTTCCCCTTCCCATTCAACCCCTCTGCTAGTTAGACACAACTTCCCTTCAACCTCACTTCTTAGTTTCAGGACTTTGTTCCACACCCATGAGCCACCAGTACTTACCTCCCATATGCTCAAGTTCCTTAGTCTATATTCTTTTATCCAGGCAGTCCAAAGGGTATCCAAACCCGAGAGAATCCCCCAAATGTGCCTAGTGAGGCAGGCCTTATTCCAGGAATAGAGATCCTTAAACCCCATTCCACCCTCTGTTCTAGGTAGGGCCACAGTTTTCCATGAGACTTTAGCTCTTTTCTTCCTCTCAAAATCACCCCAGAGAAATTGGGAGCACAGCCTCTCAATTTCTTTTATCACCTTCTTTGGCAAAAGGATAACCTGCATCCAATACTGTGTCATACTTGCAAGAACAGAGATGACCAGCTCCATTTTACCAGCATATGTTAACAACTTTTGCTGCCACCCCATTATACGCTTCCCAATTTTATCCACCAGATTCCTACAATCAGCAGCTGATAATTTCCCTGCAGTTAGTGGCAATCCAAGGTACCTGACTGGCAAACAGCCAGCCTGAAAACCAGAACGTGAAACCAGTTCCTCCCTCAGAGTATCAGAGACCCCTGCACTAAAAATCTCACTCTTACTCTGATTGCACCTCAACCCAGAGATCAGATAGAACTTATCTAACACTTCAGCAACCACAGACACACCTTCTACAGTTCCCTTAGTAAAAATCAGTAGATCGTCAGCAAAGCACAAATGTGTTAAGCTGATTCTTTTACACTGAGGATGGTATGGCAAGAGACATCTAGCAGCAGCTCTATCAATCATACAACTGAGCACCTCCATGCTTACAGTGAACAAATAGGGTGAAAGTGGGCAACCTTGCCTCAATCCTTTCTTAGCAGGGAATAATCCAGTCAATTCCCCATTAATACAGACAGTAAAACTTGTAGAAATCAAGCAGCCCCTCACCCAACGCACAAATTTGCTTGGGATACCCATGGCAGACAAAGTACAAAGCAGAAAATCCCAATCAACACTATCAAAGGCTTTCATTATATCAATTTTTAGGGCACATCTGGGGGAAACATTTTTCCTGTTGTACCATTTCACCATTTCATGAGCAAGTACTATATTATCTGTTATTAGCCTGCCTTGAATGAAGGCAGATTGATTAGGGCTAATAAGCTGGGGCAAGACTACCCTAATTCTGTTAGCCAGAATCTTGGAGATACATTTGTAGATGAAGTTACAGCAGGATATAGGCCTAAAATTCTTCATTGTATTTGCATTAGGGACCTTAGGGATGAGAGCTAGGATAGTACAATTGACCTCTTTGCGCAGTGTGCCAGTGCAGAAGAAGTCCTGAACAGCAGAAATAAGAGTCTCCCCCACCAGATCCCAATGCAATTGGAAAAATTCAGCAGGGAAGCCATCTGGCCCTGGGGATTTCCCTCTCTTCATCTTCATGACAACTTTTTTAATCTCATCCCCTGTAACCTGGGCACATAAATCCTCACTACCAGTCTCCAGATGGAACTTAAGAAGACTTCTTAGGGTATTAACTGAGACCCTTTTCAGATTTGTATCCTCAGTCCCCAAGAGCTGCTTGTAGAAATTCACTGCCTCCACACCAATATCATCAATATTTTCTAGAATGGTTCCCTCCCCTGTGACTAACTGCTTGATATTATTTCTAGCCTGTCTGGTTTTTACTATACTGTGGAAAAATATGGAATTAGTATCCCCTGTTGTGACCCACTGCTGCCTAGACTTCTGTTTTAGTAAACTTTCTTCTGCCTTTTGAAGAGCAAGAAGTTGGACCATACACCGCTTCTCAGCTTGGAAAGCTGAAGAGGCAGGGCGCTCCAACACCTCTTGCTGGGCCAACTCGAGTTCTATCCTTGCCTGCCTAACTCTATCATGAATCTCAGAGTAGCACTCCCTATTAAGTTTCTTTAGAACACTCTTAATACCACGCAGCTTCTGATACAACCTTGCCATCGCAGTGCCAGTAGCAGGACAAACCCACCCTTCATTTACCAAAGCTTCATACTGAGGGTGCATCTTCCAAAAACTAAAATATTTAAATGGTTTGGGTAGGGACTGATTACCAGAATCCAGGCTCACCAACAACCCACAATGATTTGACAATCCTGGCAAAAGAATCTTAACCAAGCTTCTCGGATAGGTCTCCATCCAACCCTCTGTAACAAGAACCCTATCTAATCTCTTAGCAATTGGAGATTCAGCCTGTTTATTTGACCAGGTAAACCAAGGACCCAGGACCTTATGATCAATCAGCTTTAAATCCTCGATCCAGGTTTTAAAATCCTGTGAGCTTTCTCCCAAACCCACTGGATTGGAGCTCTCAGAACCATCCACTATGGCATTGAAATCACCAGCCACCATCCAAGGAATTGAAGGATTTACTCTCTCAGCAATGTCCCTGTATGTCTGCTTCCTTTCCCCCACATCATTAGACCCATATAGGAAGGTTAATTGAGTAGGAACCCCTTCCTGTAGAATACCATGAACGAAATTGCTTCCACTATCCACCACACTAAACCTGATTCCCTTCTTCCAAAGCAACCAGATCCTCCCAACCCCCACCTGGGAGTATGTTTCCTTGTGTTCCCAGCCAGGAAACTTCTCATCTACAATCTTCTGCACTCTATCAGAATTAACTCTAGTCTCTAATACAGCAACAATATCAACTTTATACCTACTAACAGCTTCTAGTAAACTACTCTGCTTAACAGGGTTGTTAAACCCTCTCATGTTCCATACAAGTATTGACATTATTTGGTAGGCTGTTTTGCCCCTTTCGGAGGCCGACCAGGTTTACCTTTCTTCTTGTTCAGACCATCTCGA